AATACCCTGTACACAGTGCAAAAGGTTCAAATGGGATATAACATTTTGTGTAAGAGTGTACGGCAGAGCGAAGGAGTCATCGATAGTGACTATTTATATAATTTAATAAAGAAATAATTACTTAGCTTGTTAATGATTCAATGGTTCATTTATAAAATAACAAATAAAACGATTGTATAGATTATCAGCTGTGGTGCCTTACTAAAACCGTATCTATATATGTGGTTAGTTATTATCTCTATATAGAATTTACAGCTATTATCGCAATGTTTGTTTTAACAAAACAACGTGAATAGGGTATAGGGTATTCACTTATCGGCCAGTCTCAATAGCCCACATCTTGTTCTTTTTATTTATTGTTGTAACTGAAGCAAATCCGAGCAGACCTCGCGACGTCGCAGCTGCCACACTATGTCGCCTCATCGCGCGCTCTCTTCCATTTTCAATAAATTGAAAATTTTGCATTGCCTTATTTGTAGTTTTGACAACGTCGCTCTGTGATTTTTCTGGCTGGTTCCGTTAGCGCGCCAACGAAAACGTCCTCGCCCCCACCCAAAAAATCAAAAACAAAAACAACAACAAATTGTTCTCAAGACCTTGGTTACGGCCTGCCCTTGGAATTTGTATTTATTAGACAATATTGTAAACATAAGCTTCCCACAATGTAGGTGGCGACGCACGCTCGCTCGATTGCTCGCTCTCTCGTCTGCTTCTCTTTTGATTTGCAAAGCAATTCATCATCAAGTTTGTTTGGTTACGAATTTCACTCAACTCCATAAATGTCACAATCAGATATTATATTTTGTATACACCGTTGGGTGAGTCTGAGTCACTCTTTACAGCAGTCGCGATTCGCGGAAGAAAAAGAAATTGACTGAGGAAATAAGCATAAAATAAACGTTTGGAATATCGTTTACAGGATGGCGAGGCCGAGGACGAAGAGGGTAACAACAAAAGGGAAAGGAGCGAATGTTATTTTGCTGGCAAGGGCACCGCTCTGGTGCTAGCACTCAAAGACATACCCCAGCATGCAGAGCGACGTCTTAGCACCGACTCAACACGGTCCACCAATAGTACGCAAAGCAATAACTCGGACATACAGCTGCATTTACAATCAATGTTTTACTTACTAGAACGTGAGGACACATTGAAAATGGTATGGCACAGTAAATATCAATTCATTATACAATCAATTACTCACAAAGTACTTATCCCTGCAGGCTGTCAAACTGGAGTCGCAGCATCCGAATCGGACACGCTACCTTGTGATCGCCTCGCGCAACTGTTGCCGCACGGCGGCGAGCAGTGAGCGACGCTCTAAAATCATGCGTCACAATTCTGTTAAGTCGACGACAGCGCCGCCTGGGACACCTGTTGCGCAACGCCAGCTATCCGTGGATAGTCACAAAACGCAGCAACTTGTCCAAGATGAAACGGCAAAGCGTTTATCAGGTAACGCCGCCAATCGTCAAAGCCTAAAATGTGATGTGGATGGTCGGGAAACGGCAACTGCTGGTGGCGCCGGCGACAGCAACAAGAATACCTCAGGCATGGAGGAATCCTGCCTGCTGGGCATTGATTGCAACGAGAGCACGACCATCGGCCTAGTCGTGCCCATACTCGCGGATACCACCATTCACCTGGATGGCGACGGGTGGGTGTCGAAGAGTGGCATTCAGTTTAATTATTGTAATTAATCGAATTCAATTATTGCAGCGGCTTTAGTGTCGCCGTCTACGAGAAGACCCACATATTCAAGCCCGTATCGGTGCAAGCTATGTGGTAAGTACATTTTTGTAAATGCACAAATATTTCATTGACACATGGCTTACTGCTTGCTTTTATAGGTCAGCGCTGCAAACGCTGCACAAAGTGTCTCGAAAGGCTCGTGAAAACAACTTCTATCCATGCGGACCATCCCACGATTGGTTATCCATATACGAAAGTCGCATTGAGTCAGATCAGTCGTGTTTAAATGAATGGAATGCCATGGATGCGCTCGAGAGCCGACGCCCGCCCTCACCAGATGCCATAAGAAACAAGTAGGAAATTGTTGCTAGCTTACAATGCCGATCAATGTATAAGAAAATATTTAATTTATCTATATTTATCTGTCCGGCTTGCAGACCAACCGCCAAGGAGGAAACTGAAAGTGTCATTAAAATGAAGCTCAAAGCAATCATGATGTCGGTGGATTTGGACGAAGTGACCTCCAAGTATATACGCGGTCGCCTAGAGGATTTATTAGATATGGATCTAGGCGAATACAAATCGTTTATAGATGCTGAAATGCTGCGTATATTGGGCCAAATGGATGCGCCTACAGAAATATTTGACCACGTCTATTTGGGCTCGGAATGGAATGCAAGCAATTTGGAGGAGCTGCAAAAGAATGGGTAAGTACATTAGGTAAACCGAATTATTTATATGTCTATTCAATTTAACACTTTAATGCAGTGTTCGACACATTCTGAATGTTACGCGGGAGATCGATAACTTCTTTCCGGGCACCTTTGAGTACTTCAATGTGCGTGTTTATGATGACGAGAAGACGAATCTCCTCAAATACTGGGATGACACATTTCGGTACATCACACGCGCCAAAGCCGAAGGCTCTAAGGTGCTGGTGCACTGTAAAATGGGCGTAAGTCGATCTGCTTCTGTGGTCATTGCGTATGCAATGAAGGCATACAAATGGGAGTTCCACCGTGCCCTGGAGCATGTGAAAATGCGTCGCAGCTGCATCAAGCCAAACAAGAATTTTCTTAATCAGCTGGAAACGTACAGCGGCATGCTGGATGCAATGAAGAACAAGGAAAAGCTCCAACGTAGCAAGAGTGAGACCAACTTGAAGAGCACAAAGGATGCACGCCTTCTGCCGGGCAGTGAACCAACGCCACTCATACAGGCGCTCAATCAGGCCAAATCGAAATCAATGGGCGAATCGGGCAGTGAGCAACAGGGAAGCAGCGATCATGGTCCTTATCGTCGCAGCAGCGCACAAAAGCAGCGTCGCATGATGCGTCGTTCGAGTAGCACATCGCCGAAAACACAATGTGCAGTAGAAGTGATAAAACAGCAGAGTCAATCTATGGAGAATTTAACGCCAGAGCGAAGCGTTGCAGAGGAGCCGAAAAATATGTTCTATCCGGGAAGCAATGGTGAGAACTATAGCGTCACCCAGAATCAGGTGTTACACATCCAGAAACATACTCCGCCGTCGGTACGTACACGTGTCCATGATCTCGAGGCTCATCAAGAGCCACCACGTCGCAGTCTACAGTCGCAGGCTCCAGCCCATACGCAACCAACACAGTCACAAGGACCCGTGTGGACTTCACTATCCAAGCTGATTACACAAACATCGTTTTCGCGTCGCGACTCCGGCTCATCGGACGTGTTCACAACCGCGGTGGGACAGGTGGATGAGCGCGAGAAGCGTCAACGTCGAAAAACGCAGTCTTGGACGGAATCGTTTGGACCTAGCGGCGGCATCATCCTCGACGCACCGCTGCAACAGCCCAATGTGACACCCAGTGCCGTACTTCGCACGCGCGGTCCACGACAGCGCGAACTGCCCTCGCGACATGCCAGTTGGGGATCGGGTGACAATCGCAGCAGCTTGCCGCTGCGTACAAGTTCCTGCAGCTACTACGACAGCAACCGCAACACCACAGCCATTTTTGAAGGTGAGATCCAGGATCTGAAGCGCAGTAGCAGCAGCACAACAGCGAGCAACTGCAATACCAGCGAATCGCAGCTGGGCACCGTGAAGCGCACCAAGCAGAAGTTGGAAGAAAATACTTCCCTCAAAAAGCGCTGCCAGGAGAACGAACTGGATGACCTGGATACAGCGACAGCGGATACAGGCGAAGCAACAGCGGTAGCGGGTGAGAAGAAGTGTGCCAATCTGTTTCGTAGTGTGTCCTCGGCTAGTACCACTCGCCCGCGCCAACCGTTGCGCTGTAACAGCGAGGAGCTAATGCACACCAGCGATATTGAGAACAAGAATACTGCAGCTGACCTGGTTGTGGTGTTGCGTGCGCACAATGCTGCTGTGGCCGAGGATCAGCGCATTTCGGGCAATGTGCAAATACTCAAGCAGAACTTTGAAGCCAAAGCGGGCGTGGTGGGTGTGTCGGGCATTGGCAGCACAGCTGCCGGCGCTACGAATGTGACTGCAATTGTTCCAAGCAAGAAAGCGACACATCAATCACTGCCCTCATCACCGGTTGCACAGCATGCCGATCATGTGTTGGTTGACAATGTGGTTGCAATTGCATCAGCGGCCAAGTCCTCATCGAGCACATCGGCCAACTCATCCGACTCCAGCGTAAGCGAAACTTGTGATCGTAATGTAAAAGGTCTAGTGCATAAATATCAAACCACTTCCTGTAGTAACAATCCTGTTGCGGCAACGCCGATAGCCACAACACTGCCGCCACCCACCAACAACACAACAGCAATCACCACCAACACCGCCACCACAACCACAACCGCCACCGCCGCCAATGCAGCAGCCAGCTCAGCCATCAACAGCACCATAAGCGTCACTAGTTTCAGACAACGCCCGCGCTCCTACTACGATCGATCGCTGTCAAACAGAGCACACGATTACAGTGAGAACCGACCGCCGCCCGCACCCGCCCGACACATTGCCAGCAATCTAAATCAGCTACAACTGCAGCAGCACAACACCATAACTCACCTGCAACAATCTGAACAGCAGCAGCAGCAGCAAGTGCAGCATCGTCGTCTAGCGCAGCATGGAAAGACCCATCCACTCACTAGGCTAAGTTTACCAAAGCAAAGCTTCAACACCGCTGCATACAATACCATGTAAAGGAATGATCTTTCTTACTAGACACACACACACACACAAACACACACTCAGTCTCACAAACACACGTCTACACAAAACTCGTAATAATAACTAAGCAGGCCTATAAAGCACTTCATTATTTTTGCTTTTCAGCTCGACACTTGCCTATTACTCTGTATTTATTTTATGTATTTTTCGCTTTTATTCACCATTGTTGTTACGTTGCCTTACATATGTCTCTCTCCCTCACCGCATCCCTCCCCCTCCACATCCCTCTCATCCACAATCAAGTGTCTATTCATATGAATCTATAAAGCATTATGCGATCCGCCTTAAATTTGTTTGTTTATTTGTAAAGCATTTGTTTCAGCAATCCTTAAAACAGTCCACCCATCCATCCATTTCAACATCCAATTTCTAAATGTTTTGTGAAAAGTGCCGTCAGGGACTAAAAAAAAAAAAAGAAAAAGAAAAAACAAAAACTATGAAAATGAAACTGTATTTTGTATTTTAAATTACTTGTAACTATATACATATATTTATTTTATATTATGCAAGAACTGCCTACGAATAAATGATTTATTGTATATATTCGAATATATATATATGTATATATACGAATATACATATATACATACATAATATATATAAAGATGTGTATATACATATTTATATGTGTACACATACATATGTATGTATTTCATGTGGTGATTTGTGTGTTGTTCATCCGTTCGTTTGTTTCTGACTCCACCTGTGCCCCGTCTCATCGGTAAGCTGACTCAGCTGACATTATGTTTGTCTATTTGGAAGCGTGTATGTGTGTGTGTGTGTGTCGTCCAATGAACTTTGCCATCAGCTTTTACGACCAAGTTTGTATTTGCAGCCTTTACCGCATGATAGCCACGTTTCGCTACTCCTGGGCCGAGTGCAAGAAGTGAGCCACCGAACCGTGATGAGACACCCCACCTATATTTTATTTTCAATGTGCTACCCACGAAACACAGATTTAATTAATTAACTTATAAAATTTGATATGTTATATTCGATACCAATATTAATATATTTATTGTATTGCCACCAAGCAGGGTGACTCATTATCTTACTCTGTATGTGGGAGTGTGCGACAGCCAAGAGGGCAGTTGTAAAAGCCAACTTTCAATTAATCAAAGGGCCTACGGCACATATAAGCTGAAGTGCTTAAACTTTATTTTTTCTTTTTAAATATTATACAGGTCTGCTTAGCGTCACCGCTCACTGACGTTACAAATAAATTGCGCAATTGGCAGCTTTCAATTATTGTTAACAAAGTCACATTTAGCTTTAATCCCTTTTTACACAAAAATAACAAAAACACATTTAAATTGTCGCGGGTCTGGTGAAACCTTGTGTCTGTATGTAGTATTTTTTTCGAGCAGTTGGCAGCGCTAGTTGGAGATTTAATGAAAAAAAAAGAAGGAAAAAGTGAAAAGAATATAATGGCATAATTAGGCTTAAAATATTCTGCTTACATAGTAGGCGTGTTTTTAATATAAAAAAGTATTTTTTTTATTATTATTTATTGACAACCAATAAAATGCATATCGTGGAAATACCACCACTTTGCAGTTGTTAGAGTCGGTCACACCATAAAATACTCACACAACACCGCAACACACATACGGCTATGCACACGCACACAAATGCGCACTTGACTTCCACAGTTTCTTTATTTTGTGCAGAAAAAAGTACTTAGTATTGCCGCTAGGCGAACGAAATTCATTGTGTACGCGATTACGAATACTGCAAAAGTGTACTTTATAATGCTAGCAGCTGCTTAAAACAGCAGCTAATTAAAGTTATTGTTACGGACTTGGATTTGGAGTTGTTGTCATACCCAGCCCCCCCATTACGATTGTACGTGGCGTTTGCGAGACCGAATCTGAGTCTGAATCGGTCAACAAGCGGTCGAGGTCGTAAGCAAGCAAGTGCTAATAGATTTTTATTGTCACAGTGGGCACGGCCACGACTGCGGGGTAGACCGATTGCTAGCATGGCGGACGCTGCGGCAAAGCCTGCCGTTGAAAAGGGCGGAGGCGATCCCGAAATGAAGGGATGGCTTCTAAAGTGGACAAACTATATCAAGGGCTACCAGCGTCGCTGGTTTGTTCTGTCGAAGGGTGTCCTAAGCTATTATCGCAACCAATCAGAGATCAATCACACTTGTCGCGGCACAATATCGCTCCATGGAGCGCTCATCCACACCGTGGACTCATGCACATTTGTCATCTCGAACGGTGGCACACAAACCTTCCATATTAAGGCAGCCAACGAGGTGGAGCGGCAGTCGTGGGTGACATCGTTGGAACTGGCTAAAGCGAAGGCTATTCGTGCTATTGAAAGTGAAGAGGAGGAGGAAGAGGAGACGGCACAAGTGGTGCCCAGCCAAGAGATCAGCACTGTTGTGCGCGATCTAACCGAACGTCTGGAAAATATGCGCACCTGCTACGACCTAATAACGAAGCATGGTGCAGCACTCCAGCGTGCTTTAAATGATCTAGAATCTAACGAAGAGGAATCTCTGGCCAGTCGCACAAAGATTGTCAATGAGCGGGCCACGCTATTTAGGATTACATCAAATGCAATGATAAATGCAGGCAATGACTATTTGCGCTCAGCTGAATCACAGGGCCATAAATGGTCCAAAATGCTGCACCACGAGCGTGAGCAGCGCCAGCGACTGGAAGAGATCATCGAGCAGATGGCAAAGCAGCAATCTCAAATGGAACAAGCTGCCGTATTCGTACGCCGCAATAAGCCGCTGCCAATGTCATCGTCCAGCACAACGGTGTGCATGACTCCTGGAGCTCCTGGCACCAACTTGACTTCCGACGATGAAACTGAGTTCTATGACGCCGAGGAATATGGCTGTGATCGGACAGGCGACTCGCCCATAGACAGCACATTCATACTGAAGCTTAACAAGCGGCGTAGCAGCTCCGAGGATCAAGTTGGCTCCGAGGGACATACAGGCAGCTCTTCGGAAAGTGACGAGCAAAGACGAACCATCCAGACCGTGCAGCAGGTGTGTCTCGTTAGCGCCGCACGCGTTGCCTCCGGCGGCGATGACAATAATGGAGACAAGGTCGATGAAGCTTCGAAATCACAAACAGATCTTGTGAGAAGGGCGTCAACTGCCAGAGCTAGCAAATCGGGCAATAAGGGTGCCATGGTCAATCGACGCACGCGAGTCCCGGATAAGCCAAATCACTCGGTTAACCTGTGGTCCATCATGAAGAACTGCATTGGCAAGGATCTGTCCAAAATACCCATGCCCATCAATTTCAATGAGCCGCTATCCATGCTGCAACGCTTGGCGGAGGACTATGAGTATAGTGAAGTGTTGGATCATGCAGCTACGCTAACAGACGAATCAGAGCAGCTGGCCTATTTGGCGGCATTTGCGGTTTCCACATATGCGACAACAGCGGTGCGTACGGGTAAACCGTTTAACCCATTGCTAGGGGAGACTTACGAGTGCGATCGCATGGATGATCTGGGCTTTCGCTATCTGGCTGAACAGGTGTCGCATCATCCGCCAATAGCTGCTCTACACTGCGAGGGTAAGCAATGGGTTTGCTGGCAAGAATTTTCCATGACGAGCAAATTCCGTGGCAAGTATTTGCAGGTAAGGAAGATGCGATTTTCCATTGTTGTCTTGAAAGCTTTAAGTCATTCACTTCTTGTTCAGGTGAATCCTCTGGGCGGAGCGTACATTTTGTTCCCCAAAAGTGGACATCGCTACTCCTGGCGCAAAGTGACAACAACTGTGAACAACATAATTGTTGGAAAGATCTGGGTGGATCAGCATGGAACGATGGAAATAGTGGGCTCTAATGCAGCGCATGGAAACAAGTGCATCCTGAACTATAAGCCTTATTCCTACTTCAGTCGTGAGGTGCAGCGCAGCGTGAAAGGTGTGGTTCTCAATCGCAATAATGAAGCGAAATGGGTGGTGCGCGGGACGTGGGATGATAAAATCGAAATAGCGCCTGTGCTGGAAACGAGTGGCACTGCGGATAATCCAACCTACACCACAGGCGAATACAAGGTGGCATGGCAATGTCGCCCACCTCCACCAGACTCGGAAAAGTATTATAACTTCACCACGCTTGCCTGTCAGCTGAATGAGCCGGAAGATGGCGTAGCGCCAACGGATTCTCGTAATCGACCCGATCAGCGTCTCATGGAGGAGGGCAGGTGGGATGAGAGCAACAAGGAGAAAGTGCGCCTTGAAGACAAACAGCGAACGGTGCGAAGAGCTCGCGAAGCTGAGGCCGAGCAAGCAGCTGCCGAGGGACGGCCGTACCCTGTGTATGAGCCGATGTGGTTCAAGCGCGAGAAGGTGGAGGGTAGCGATGAATTTGTGCACGTCACGAAAAATACATATTGGGCGGCTAAAGCTGCCCAGAATTGGAATGGCTGTCCAGATATCTATTAAGAAATAAACGCCGCACTCTTATGTGAATTAATTGAATATGCAAGCCTCGAAACTCCGCTGTCAACCACTAATAACAAAGAGCCACTTCTCGAGAGTATCAATAACTTACAGAACTATCAAGCTAATCGATGTAATAACATTTTTTCACTACTTAGTGCATATATAAATTAATTACTGTAAAGTAGCTGCGAATGTTGATACTGATACTGAAATGATTTTATTGCGAGCTCAATCTCAAGTTCGCATCGCATTGATTGCGATTATCAAAATTGTTTTCCCTTGTTCGGGTTTTATTTTAATCTTTGCTTTAATCAGTTAAACACTTATGGCACATAGACCTTACCATCCATACACATACATACATATATATATATATATATATTTATATATATATATATATCTAATCAATATACATACATATGTAGACATATTCGTTCTAGTGAAAAGTCTAACAGCTTTTCACTCTAAACAATAATAGCAACAACAATAAGGAGAAACGTGTTTCCCCTTCACCGCAAATTGTTTTCACCTTTGCTTGTATGTATGTATATATATACATATATGATGAGGTTCTAAACAATGCAACGAGTATATGTTAAATGTTATAAATTTATGCAATTTATTATTAAAGTATTATTTTAAATAAAATAAATCAATTGTGTTGTGGTTAACCCAACAACTACATTTAGGCCATGCACTCACGCAATTAGGAAGACGACGAGAAGAGAAACACCTATGGCACCGCCTTTCTCACCGTCCGCGATAATGTACTATCTGACTGACTCACTGTCAAAAAACTGAGCCGAACGCGAATCGTAATGCTGCCATACCTTATCTGTGCCGTTCGACTAGCGAAATGCTCGCGCGATAACGCAAGCAGAATGTGGTCGCAGCGCTCAACCAGGGAGTCGACGTTTTTAATTGCGTTCAGTTATTCGCTAGGAATTGAATATGTCTGGCGAGCGAGCGCACCACAGACAGCGACGGAATAGCTCAAGTGTGAGCATGGACTCCGCGCCCGACTCCCGCGCCTCCTCTCCGAGCAACAAATTACGATTGTCGCAGAAAAAGAGACGAAGCCGTTCGACAAATCGAACTGCCAGCGAAAGCAACACGGAAATGAAGGGCTGGCTACTGAAATGGACCAACTATGTGAAGGGGTATCAGCGACGCTGGTTTGTGCTCTCGAATGGCGTGCTTAGCTATTACCTCGATCAGTCTGAAGTCCATCTGGCGTCGCGCGGATCGATAACGCTCAAGGCAGCCGTAATCGAACACGTGGATCCCTGTACGTTTGCAATTTCGGATAGCAGTAAGCAGCTGAGCTTTCGCGTCAAGGCGGAAACTGAGGCGGAACGACAGACGTGGATTACATCGATAGAGCTGGCCAAGGGCGCAAAGATGCCAGCTGCCGATAAAGAAAATCCAGCTCCAACTGAGGTTAAAATGATCAGAAATCGTCGCACCCGAGTGCCGGACAAACCACACTACCCGCTCAGCCTGTGGACGCTCATGAAGAACTGCATTGGCAAGGATCTCTCTAAAATACCCATGCCCATAAATTTCAACGAACCGCTCTCGATGCTGCAGCGCCTGGTCGAGGACTATGAGTACTCCGACGTGCTCGATATCGCCGCCAGCTGCAGCGATGAGTGCGAACAGCTGGCCTACTTGGCAGCGTTCACGGTCTCTGCATATGCCACGGCAGAGACCCGGATTAACAAGCCTTTCAATCCTCTGCTGGGGGAGACCTACGAATGCGATCGCACTGACGATCTCGGCTGGCGCTGTCTCACCGAGCAAGTGTCGCATCATCCGCCAATTACGGCCTTGCATTGTGAGAGCAAAGAATGGGTAAGCTGGCAACAATTCTCGTTGACAAGCAAATTTCGTGGAAAGTATTTGCAGGTAAGTAATTGGCGCAGCTGATTCATCTGAGTTACTCACGATTGTTTCTAAATGGAACAGGTAAATCCAGTTGGTGGGGCCTTCGTCTCTTTCCCCGCTACGGGCCGTCGTTATTTCTATCGTCGCGTGACAACAACTGTGAACAATATAATCGTGGGCAAGCTGTGGGTCGATCTGGAAGGCCAATTGGAGATCGTTGGCAGCAACGCAGCAAAGGGCTACAAGTGCATTCTCAACTATATACCGTATTCATACTTCGGTCGTGAGGAGCAGCGCAGCATCAAAGGCGTGGTGCTCAATCCAAAGAATGAGGCCAAGTGGTTGCTGCGTGGCACATGGAATGACAAAGTCGAAATAGCTCCGGTGCTGCATACCAGCGGGCCGGCAAAGAACCCCAGCTACACGACTGGCGAGTATAGGGTTGCCTGGCAGCGACGTCCAGCTGCCCCTGATTCGGACAAGTACTACAACTTGCCCGTGTTTGCTTGTCAGCTGAACGAGCCGGAGGAGGGTGTTGCGCCAACGGATTCACGCCTTCGACCCGATCAGCGTTGCATGGAGGAGGGCGCCTGGGATGAAAGCAATCGCGAGAAGCTACGGCTCGAGGAGAAGCAGCGAGCGGTGCGAAAACAGCAGGAGCTAAAGGAGAAACAAGCGATCGCCGAAGGACGACCCTTTTCAGCCTATAAGCCCATGTGGTTTAAGCTGGAGCGAGTGGAGGGCAGCACAGAATTCATGCATGTGTCTAAGAATACCTATTGGCAGGCCAAGGCGGCCCAAGACTGGAGCGGCTGTCCGAATATATTTTAACAGCTGCGCTAAAAAGTAAACACAATCAATACGAAATGAAGCCGCAATATCTAATCTTTCAACAAAGAGGTGGCTGACTCTTTGTTGTCGTCGTTGTCTTCCGCTAAAAAAAGACGTGAGCAATCCAAAGAGCAATGTTATAAATTTACTCAGTTTATTAGTAAAGTATTATTTAAATAAAGCAACTGTTGCCAGAAAAGAAAAGAATCGAATCGGTCATGAACATTGACGAACACCTGAGTTGATATCGCCCTCTTCAATGCGCACGATAAGAAGTCGTTTATTGACTCGATAATCAGTTAATCCAACGCGACAAACGTGGCAAATCGATTTATTAATGCCATCATTTTCTAAACTAAATGGTTAACAACAGATAACAGTGATATCTGGCCACGATCTAATTGGGTTCCGTGGTTTGGGAAGTAATAAATATATCCAGCGATTTAAGTAGCGCCACCACTGATGGATCGCGACCCTGGAAACGACGGAATACCTCCGCCGTAGGCACCGAACCGCCATAGCTCAAAAATGTTTGCTTATACCGTTTACCCACTGTAGCGTAGTGTTCATCGCTGCGCTCTTCTGCGAATCCACTCGAGATATCAGCGGCAATCAGCTTGGAATACAAGTGGCTAAAATGTGCGGCCGCCCAGTCGCCAGCAAATATGTCTGTCATGGAGCAGGGATGAGCGTCCTTCTTATCCAACGGCATACACTGATAGACTGGCCAAATCTTACGTACAACATCCAGCCAAAACGCGCTCGAGCGATGTAGCTCCACATCCAAGTCAGCTAAGTACAATTCTTTGCATAGTTTATGCCCAGCCAATTGTGTTTTCAACAGACGTGTCTTCTTCGCAAGCTCAATATCAATTATATCATCATTGGCATAGTGGCCAGACAAAGTCTGAAGCACAGCAGTGTCGTCCAGGAAATTGCTCATCACATAGCCCGACACTTGCGAGGCATCCCACTCGATGTTAGAGAGTCCTGCCAAGTCGCTGTAGCCCGCTTGGGTTAGCAGATGCTGCAGCGCCGTACCAAAGGTCTTAAATACCATTTGCAAGTCGTCATAACTCAGAAGCGTAGGCTTCTCCGGAGTGGGATCTGTAAAATTGAAGATAAGTGCGCAGAGCGGAGTAAGGTTAGCTGTTTTGTTTCTATTCCGTATGCCAACCATCCAGCCATTGTTGCGGCCGAACTTGTGCTGCTTCGAATAGCAGTCGACGTAGAAGCCACCAACCGGTGTCGAGCTGTTGCTCACATCATTATCGTACACATTGAAAAATTTGACAGCCGGATGCCAGACTTCAGTCTTGGGCTGCTCTACAATGCGTATATTAAATAGCTTTTCACTCAGCGCGAACAATCCGGAGAGCACACGTGGAAGTGGGAAATACTCTCGCAGCTTTTCTTCCTGTAGCTGATGCTCGGCTATGAGTTGTTTGCGTGCCCAGTAGCTCACATCATATGCCTCTAGCTTATGCTCTGCACCGTTTGCAGTGGCAAACTTTTGCACCTCCTCTATCTGAACGCTTTGCGCAGGACCCGCAAATTTCAGCAGCTGGGCAAAGATTTGCTTCAGATTGTCCACACTGCCAATCATTTTGGTTTGCATGGACATGTCTGCATAGTTGGTATAGCCCAGGAGATTGGCCTGTCTCTTGCGCAAGCCACGAATTTTCTCCAAATGCGTGCTATTCTCCAGTGCTTTATCTTGTTGCTGGGATGCCTTCAAAACATTGGCGCGCCACACATTCCAGCGCTGCAGGCGATCTGGACAGTATTTAAGGAAGCCCTCCACAATCGGCTGCTGTAGAGTAATTTTCCAAGGGCCTTCGAGTGCCTGTTTAGGATCTCGCGCCGTGGCTTCCAGTAAGGTGTCTGGAAAGTCCCGAACTAGCTGAAAATCGTTGATGACATGTGCAAACGCATGTACTGCCATATTAACTTTGTTCTTAAAGTTGCCACGCTCCCGTCCCAGCTGGGTAATCAACTCTTTGAGGCCATCCTGACCATCCTTACTCAGCGTCAGGCCATTCAATTTGCCCTCAAGCAGGAATTTTTGGCGCAATCGTTGCTCTGCCTCGCCTGTTTGGTCCTCTTGCTGCATTAGGGCTGTATAGACCGTTTTGTTGCAGAACTTGGCAGCACGCGCGTTCCGCGCCCGCTCGTGTATGTTCATATAGGATTTGGTGGGTATTAGCGTGCTGTTACCCAGATAAAGTGCCTTTGCTATACCCCATGTGGTTTCCAACGGGGCTGTAACTGCATCCAGTTCACTGTATATTTCAGAGCCTTTTAGTTGCTTCCCATTTTTTATATCCAGCTCCAGGGCTTTCACCGATTTCTCGACGGCGGCCGCCTGCTGTCCAATTGCTCCCAGGCACATCTCGATAGTAATGTCGGTAAATGCCGGCAAGCCATTTGGCATAAGCAAGCCTTCACCCAATTGACCCTCCTCACCGATTTCAGGCACACTATGGGCACAAAAAATGTGTTAACTGAACTTGTTCCGCAACCAAGAATTCAACACTTACAGAACAATATAGCCCGGCCGGCTGGTAGTCGTGTGTAGGCAACGTTGAGCGGCATTTGCTATTGCCCAATGGCGCTGACGCAATATGTGCAACATGTCTTAATTACGAATTTAAAACTACTTATTTACAATTATGAAAAAATGCGTGCGGCCAAATTTTTTGACGGCCTGCGTTTACACAATACTCTCAGCTGTTCTGCTTCCTCTTAGCCGGCATACGATAAGTATCGTTTGTACATCTATTGGTCTAATCGGCGAAACGATAGCATACACTAACACAGCTTTTATATCGATATATAAAACACATCGAAAATTAACATGTAGCGCCAAATAAAAAGATTATTCACTTTTGGTAGCGCTTTATTGCTACAGTTATGAGTGTATATGTATATTTATGTACAGATAAGATGAATTCAAATAAAGCAAGCTAATTACAAAAAAAATCTATTTCTAAAAAACGAGCAGGTATCAAAACATATATAACATATATGTTAATATTAAAATTATTATAAATGACTAAACTTAACATCCTAAGCCCTTGTATTGACAACCATTGTGGGTTAGAGGCATGTCATTGAGATTACTGCCTATCTCCTTCTTATCTTCTTCTTCATCCTCTGATGTGGTGGCGTTTAATTGCAATTTGACGTCAATATCAAAATACTGCTCTATACCATTGACAGGCTCCGCACTAATGTCGGTCAAATGTCGAAACTTGAAGTGTACCCAATTTCGATAGCTCATTACAGACTGTGGCACATGAATAATGCTGCCCAGAATGGATCCACTTCTTTTTGAGACGTCCATGTCAACCTGTTTCGACAGCTTTAAAAAGGCTGTTTCAAAGCGTTGCTTCACATCCAGTGCTCCAAACGAGCTGCGTCCAATGTCGTTAGTCGGCGTAATAGGATCCTCAATAGTCAGAACCGATAGCCAGTTGCCATGACTGAAGGAGTTTTGCAGCACACACTTTTCCACGATGCCTCCGCTGCCACGAATAGAGATTCCATACTTAAAGTAGTCAAACTTGCGTCCATAAAAGTCCAGAAACTTGAGAAGTAGCTTGCCCAATTTGTTATCATTCTTGCAGTTCTTGGCCTCGCTAAGTGGCTGTTGCTGCAGGAAGCTGATGCACATGAGTGTGACGGAATACGATGAAATACCGCCTGAACTGTATACTTCATTTAGGCCTTGTAGCAGTAGATATTGCTTCAGTACCATGACTAGTTTGGGCAGCTCTGGGAACTGTTCTATATACTGCTGCACCAGCTCGGCCGCCTTAACGCCCGACGTCGTATTAAATGAAATGTCAAATTTTATTCGTGATATCTGCTCTGTAAATTTAACAACGGGCACCGAGGCCTTGTCCAGGACATTGATATCATCGGCCACTCCTCGTGCGATCAGCGTATCTCTTAGCTCAAGCAATGGAGCGCCTTGCCAATAGAAATTGTTAACAGCTATGTCGATATCGGAGATGGGCAAATTTAGACCGGTGCGAAAAGAACCAAAGACTTCAACGCAGCAATCAGGCCAAATACTCAGTACAACACGCTCAATCCGATGGACAGCCTCCATACGCATCATATACTCCGTGGGCGTCGAAAGCATGTAGTTGTAGAAATGTTCAATCTCTTGATGGAGTGCGGTTACCCCGCTGCCATATTCAACATCTGAAACCATCCAGGGCTCGCACTGATCCGCGACGTTGGTCATCTCGACGGCTTCTTGAATCGTGAACAAAAACTGAGACTAGTAACTCCTCTCTGGTATTTCAATTATTTATTGTTTTGTTGTTCACTTTTGGCACTTAAAAGTTACTGTATGCTCATTCGCAATCGCAATTCGTAATTTGTTGTCTTTTTTTAATTTCTCTTCAAACCGAATAACAAGAACAAGACAAATGCCAAAGTCAGCGCCGTTATACAGCGTTGCCACCCAGTTCATTTCGAACCGACGAAAATGTACTAGTTCCTTTTTCAAACCCGCTTATCATGAAATAAGTTAGACATGATGTAATTGAGTTAAATAAACATAACCAATAAGATAAATGCCGATAAGAATAAATTTTCAATAAAATATGTATGCAAAGGCATGTTGTTTAAAAACTTGTTCTTTACTTATTACTGTATGACTGTGTAAAAAATAAATTTACAGCAATATACACAAACCAAACTCGAAACACTGCACACATTGGAGACTACATACATTTGAAGTAACTAGCCCTGAACATAAACAAATTGAACTAAGCATGTGACTCGGTATTTAAAGCTAAAAGAAATTTCTAAATATGCGCACTACAGCCTGTACCCAACGCGGTATAGGCCTCTGAACAATCTGACGCTCAGCTGTTGTAGACAGGTCAAAGAGGCGATCTGATTCGTCTTGAAGTCGCTGACTGAGCTCCTTGTTGACAGTTACCAAACAGACCTGGGTCTCCAAATCGCGATTGACCGAGCGCTCGCCAAAGTTTGAGGAACCGATAAGTGTTAAGTTGGGCAGTCGAGCCTCAGGTAAATAGTACCAGAGACCCTTGGCATGGTACGTCCATCCAGGCTTTTCGTATTCAAAAAAGTTTACACGATGATTTTGCTGTCGTCGCACTAAGGTTTCATAAAAACTCTTTGCAATCAGTGTGTAGGCAGCAGGAATACCACCAGCAGGTCCTTTGGCGCCTTGGAAACCATTTGCCTGCATCAGAGAAACCCAAATAATATTAGAAAATTGATGGTATCTAAGCCAATACTTACATTTGGATGCGCCATGAGAATGCTGCATTGCGCGAGGCAGTTGTGCGTAATGGTGTCCATATATTCCTGGGTGAGATTGAAGTAGCCGGTGGCTAATTTAAGGCGTGATCCGGCTATGCATTTCGACAGCAACTGTTTGGTCACCACGCTGTCATGGTGAATGCCTATCTGACCCATCTCTAGCAACGGAAACACCCACGTGTCGGCTTGGCTGCTCTGCTCCCTGATTTGTAGTTGTCTTTGGTATGCATCCTGTACGAAATTTGTTATACGTTCTTTGGCCAGCCGAATGAATTGGTCTTTAGTGCCCTCGTAGGGTAGGATGCGCCAGTTGCCATGCAGTCTCTCAGCCGCATCAGCGCCCACAGCCAAGCTGAACTCCTGCACTCGTTCGATGAATTGCGCATAGAAATCAGCCAATGGCTTGTCCTCAATTAGTATGTAGCGATCCTGGCGATTGGTAAAGTAGTCATTGGACAAGTTGGCGCCCGAAATGATGACTGCATCGTCAAATAAGTACACCTTCATGTGCTGCAGTCCGAACAGCTCGTTCCAGCGCGGTGGCGCGAATCGTTTGGTCATACCACGTAAATCTGGCGTGTGGTAGAGTGAAAATTGTACCTGTTCTCCAAACTCTCGTACCAGAGGCAGGAGCATGGTCTTAGAGTTGGCCACCCCACGTGTTCCGCGCGTGAAATCCAAGAGAACGTTTAGACGGAGTGACGATTCTGCCTTTAGGCTGTGACGCAACGTTTGCACAAAGGAGCTCTCCAATTGACCCGTGCCTAGGTACAGACTGGCCAACACAATACGTTTTTTGGCTTGTGCGATGCGCTGTATTAGTGTTTGATAGAAGTGATGCGGCTCATGGATAACCTGTATTTGTTCCCCACGTAGCGGAAAGCAGGGCGCCAGATTGTGTAACCAGGATAGACTGTCCAAAGCAGGTGCACCCGCAAATCCACCACACAACAGCTGTTGGGGCGCATGTTGTAGGCAGCCCAACAGGTCGCTCTGTGTGACGGGCGACAGTTCCTGGGTGAATAGGCGGCGCAGGTACATCATTTTGGCTGAGGGCTTTCTTAATATTCCACTGCTGACGCTACTCTGGCTGGGCCAGGTTCCTTTCCTTTTTTCACCTTAATTGCGATGTTGGTTTCATTCATTTATTGGTGGTTTGAGTAATTGAATAAAGTGAACTGGTTATATGAAATCATATCAAAATTACATTTACATGCTGTTGCTGGATATTTAAAGAAATCTATCGATAAATATATTTTTATCGTTTCAACTTCGCAGTCAACATATGAAAATTAAAGTACTTTATTTAGCCATACAGTCTGTAACCATCATATAAATCGATTTAAAAATGGTGTTTGTTATGAAAATGTAAATAAAACTGTCAATAATGTATGGAAAAGCCTGTTATATGATCAATCTACTGTTTAAAATATCGATATTTAATACCCATAAAAACGGATTATCGATGTTTCCGTCGTTCGCCACTAACACAGCCAGCGCAGCGCAACAACAAAAAGCAAGGAGAGAAGAAGAGTCAAGCAAAAGAAAAGCCAACGAAGTCAACTGCGAAAATTTTGTGCCTTCCTCCAATACATAGCTCGTACGTTGTTCAAATGCCTTTAAATGTGAACGCAAAGGATTAAAATACGACAAATAGTTGATGAGTGCGTTTGTATGTGTTGTGCATGATATCAAAATAGTGTCTACAATAGTGCAACGCAACCAGATTCGAGTGCGTGCAGCAACAGCAACACCAACAACATAAAAAAAAAAAAATAAAAGAGAGCGAGAGCGATAGCCAGCCTTAGTCGTAACTCACTTTGCTTTGGGATTTTTTGTTGCTACCTTTTCTTGCTTTTGTTTTTGCTTGAAAATTTTATAGACGAACCGAAATTTGAAGTCAGCTGGCCTGGTGTAAAAAGTGACAGAAGCTAACATGTCCTGGACAGAGAAAGTGGACCCGGAGTTGATCTTCACCAAGCAAGAGCGCATTGGCAAAGGCTCTTTTGGCGAGGTCTTCAAAGGCATTGACAATAGGACGCAGCAGGTGGTGGCCATCAAGATAATCGACTTAGAGGAAGCTGAAGATGAGATCGATGACATACAGCAGGAGATCATGGTGCTCTCCCAGTGCGATTCGCCGTATGTCACCAAATACTATGGATCCTTTCTGAAAGGCACCAAACTATGGATAATTATGGAGTACCTGGGTGGCGGCTCTGCATTGGACTTAATGAAAGCTGGATCTTTCGAAGAGATGCACATTGGCATCATATTGCGAGAGGTACTTAAAGGCCTCGACTACTTGCACTCGGAGCGCAAGTTGCATCGCGACATCAAGGCGGCCAATGTGCTTCTCAGCGAGCTGGGTGATGTGAAACTTGCCGATTTTGGAGTAGCTGGGCAGCTCACCAATACGACATCCAAGCGAAATACATTTGTGGGTACACCCTTCTGGATGGCACCAGAAGTTATTAAGCAATCACAGTACGATTCTAAAGCGGACATCTGGTCGCTGGGTATAACGGCCATCGAGTTGGCAAAGGGCGAGCCTCCTAATTCGGAGCTACATCCGATGCGTGTACTTTTCTTAATACCGAAAAACAATCCGCCCCAATTGACTGGTAACTATAGCAAGTCATTTAAGGACTTTGTCGAGGCATGCCTTAACAAGGACCCAGAGAACCGGCCGACAGCCAAGGAATTGCTTAAATATCCGTTCATTAAGAAGGCAAAAAAGAATGCCTATCTGATTGACTTAATCGATCGCTTTAAGAAATGGAAGCTCTCTAAGGGCGATGAGAGCGAAACTGAGTCGGAGAACTCCGATTCCGATTCGGATGCCAAGCAGAGCGGCGTAGGCGGCAGCGGTCACGATGAGCCCTGGATAATGACCGTTAAGGGACTACACATCAATAGCGCACCGCGTGCCGGAGTCAATAGTTTTCAGCTGCAGGAGCACGAGTTGACCATGCAAAAACTTATGGCCACGACACATTCGCCCACGACCGGCGTCAGCAGCAATAGCAGTCAATCAGCCTCGAGCAGCAACCTTAGTAACAGTATTGGAGGCCCCAGCAAAGCTGCGAGTACAACTAACGTGGGTAATGCGATTGCACCGGCGGCGGCGACGGCGTCTGGCAGCGACTTGCCGGCGATGGTCAGCAGCAATAGCAATAGCAACAACAATAACAACAATAACAGTAACAACAACAACTTGAACAGCAACAAACATGCCACAACAACTATGCTGAATGCGCCACTGAGTGGTGGAGGATTGGGAGGTGGAGGTGGAGCAGGAGCAGCTGGCAATGCATCATCTGGCGGTGGAAGAATGCTGCCGGTCAGCACATCCAGTTCGGCCACTGATATAATGCAGAAACGTGCTAGCTCCAAACCAGAGCTGCGTCAGTCACGTTCGGTTGCTACATTGGATCAAGTAGAAGAGCGTCGCGCTTCCCTAGGCCTGCCACTCAGCATGGATCAGCATCAACAACAGCACCAGCACCACCACCAGCAGCAGCAACGTCGTAGCAACAATCGTGAATCATTCCATGCGACAAGCGCCAATAATGTGAGCAACAGCAGCAGCAGTGGTATGAACGTTGCCGAGCACAACGATTCCCTGGCTTCCAATCAATCCAATCACGGCAAGCTTGCGACCGGGCAGGGCCAGCGCATGTCATATCACACGAACAGCGCTTGCCTAAACAATTTGCTCTTCCCGGTTCTGGGTGACATACAGCGCAAATATAGCAACAGCAGCAAGAATTTGCAGAGCATGCACGGAGTTGGCGTCGGCAGTGACATTGGCGATTTGAAGTCTGTGTTTGAGCTGGCTGAGCGCAGCAGTCCGGGCGTTAGTGATCTGTTCATGAAGGAGCTAATCCATATGCTGATGCCGGGCTATTCGGAGACGCGCATCAATAATATTATGGATCGCGCCATACGCAATCGCAAATAGACCGTGAAACGGTCCGCCCATATTCCAAAACAAAACATATATATTCTATATAAATACTATACATGTTAAATAAAACCCAACAAGCAGCAACAAAAAGCAGCAGTAGCAGCATCAGTAACCAACATATTCCGACATAGTGGCCAATGGAGCAAGCAGCGTTAGACTTATGAAAAACGAAAGTTTATATATACTTATGTAGTTGTACATTACGTATTTCAACTGAGCCATGTGGCAAATGTTTATCCGACAGTTATTTAGGCATATAATATGTATTCGTTTGTTTATCTGCAATATTAATATTATTAATATAATGTAAATCATATGCAACTTTAAAATAAAACAAAATAAAAAGGTTACATTTACATTTGATCTGCCCCTCCTCAGTGTGACTTTAAATCGTGGCGGCTAATCGATAATATTATTTTGACTGCTTTCCCAAAGTGGCTTATGGAATTTTAAATTTGGTTGAATTAATAAATTATTTTAAATGCTTTGCTTTTTAAATAAAAGAAAACGCATCAAAGTTTAGCAGGCCTATAAATGGTAACCGAAATATACGTTCGAATCAAATTTAGAGCGTAGCGTCAAATATCGATTCGTCGATAATTAAAATGTATGTCTGAATCGCGAGAATAATATGGCAACCCTATTAAGAAAAGGAAGCTTCATTGGAAGCAAGAAATTATTGCGGCTTTTAATTTGATATCCTGCAAAAATGTCAAATTTATTAGTAGATGAAGAATCTTTGGAAACGTTAACCTATGAACGTTCCAAATTGTGGTCAAACTTTCTTAAGGTAGGTCTTAAAAAACATTTACACGATCGCCATTTAAATTCTCGGTTTTTTTTTTTAAACTTTTTTTTTCAGCGTTGTGAGAATATGGAAGATGGCGAAGAAATAAATGTGAGTGACATCGAAGAAATATATAAAAATAATGATGAGGAAAGTATTGCCGATGTGGAAGAAGCCGTAGAAGATGTGGTGGATGAAGCGGAGGAAGTACACAATACTACGGCCTTCATGAGCAAAGCAGAACTTACCTTGATGATATGCAGCGGCGATAATAAAGAGATTTTAGATCAAACGCTGCCAATTGTTCAAGAACACGTACGTAAATGGAAGGCTGCTGGTCTAGATCGCATACTAAACACATTCGATGAGCAGAAGATAGAACAGCATGTAGGTGATTGGCTGCGGCGTCACAACAGTGCATATGGCGACAAGACTCTACAGCCATTGTCGCAGGCTAAACAGTGTCACAGGCGCTTCAAGGCAAATGATCATGTGTTCTCTCCGGCGGCCAGCAGCGATAGCGAGACCGAGTCAATGCATTCTGTGGACACAGCACGCTATATACGCGCCAGTCGCAAGCGGACTGTGTCGACTGCCACTAAATGCAGCAGCCCCATGACAACAATCAAAATGTATCGAACGCTGCCACGCATGCGCGACGAGCTGCGTGCCAAATACAGCTGCAATGAGTACAATGAGGATCAGGAGCATCGACACCATATGCTGGCATTACGCCATCGACGTGACCAACTGCACAGATGCAACCGTGAACGGGAACGTGAGCGTGACCGTGGGCGTGAACGTGAAATCATTTATCACCCGACTCCCAGGCATTATCCGTACAGGGTGGCTTCCAGTTTCCATGGCCAGCAGCGTCGTAAGCAGCTACGTAAGCGGCGGGACAGCTCTCCACATTTTCCATCAACATCCTCCAGCGAAGATGAAAGCGCTCACAGCCGTTGTAACTGCAATGCCTGTATGAGACGTGTCTTTTCCATGTCGTCCCATCCTTATTGTGGCTATCGTAGCTACCAAAGCCATAGCCTATATCATCATCAGCGACTTGAAATGGGATCCAGTACTTCGCACAGCACTTTTAAGCATAGCGTACGCCACTTGCGACGTCAGCACTCATTCGAGGACGATTTGCGTCCGCGTCTGTTGGAGAGTGAGTGTAAGTGTTGCAACAAAGATCGACTCTGTTCGAATGTGGTACACATCGCCAATAGCTCAACAGAGGAATGGCTGGTTGAGAATAGAAGCAGTCCAGATCTAGTGAATTTAAAAGCGCAAACTCAGACACCGACCAGCAGTCGCATCAAGACAAACTCAACGTTAGAGTCGAAAATGGCACCAGCAGTTGAGCATATTGGTGTTCTTGCTGAAGAAACCGACGAAGACACCGAAGAAGGTGTGTTGGAGAATAAGATCAATACCGACAAGGAACACCTAGCGAAAGATAAGCCCAAGAGGAAACGATTAGACAAAGCATCAAAATCGATTAAAAATGAAATGAGTGAGGAACCTGTGAAGACGAAAAATGAGCGATCTACAAAATCTAGCAAACTCAAAGGGAATCAACTCAAAGGCCAGAAAAAGAAGGCAGTGAAATTAGGAAAAAAAGGTCCAGCAGCTGAAAAAAAGAGGAAGAGTACTGTGGCTAGCAGCACAGCTGGTAAGGCACGTCGTAAACTAAAAAATGAAGTCAAACGGACATCCGAGGAATCGGAAAATTCCGATGAAGACTTTAAGCTAGCCATTGCTCTTTCAAAACAAACCTTTTTGAGTGACCAAAAGAAATCGATGCAAAATGCTGATACGAAAATGGAGGAAGATTCAGATTCATCGTCCAAATTTCCGGAACAATCGACTTTTAATAATAACAGTGTGGCCTGCAATTCAACGGCCGTGTCTATTGATACGGCATGTGCACATTCTATGAAAAATCTGAAAATGCAGCCAACTAATGATGTTGCCAATACAATCTCTCTCATGCAAACCGTGGAGATATCAGACAGTGACGGCGACTGCACCATTGTGACTTCAACGACTGGCTGCGAGGCAGCCGCTGCAGTTGCGAAGCCTGCTGGAGACGTGCCTCAGCCTCCAACTGATATTAAGCCGACTAAAAAGGGTTATCTACTGTATAGACCAGCCGACCGTTCACAGAACTGTAACTCTGGCAACTTTACGCTTACAGAGCATACTCTAGTCCCTATTATTGGACAGAATAAGGCCCGCAAATTTCTGAAGTATTATACAGGCGCACGCAGTTTTGATAATCGTTATTCAGTGTACTATCGCCCCACAGTTAAGATGGCTAATGCGTTGAGTGCAGGCGCCAAGTCTGTGGGTTATATGTCTTCCAGTAGCAGTGGCAGCGACTCCGATATCTTCGATCGTCTTCATCGTTACGGGGATGTTTATTTGGAAAAGAACAACGATAGCGATTGATTCGCGTTACTTGTTGGTCAGTAGTTCTAAGGCATACATACATTCTTAACGTAAATTTGGAAATGCTTTAAGGGGATAGTTGAATAGTTCGCAACGTTGTACGAATCGAAAAATTTAAATTATCCTCGAAATCAACTCCAATTTAATTACAATTTTCAATTATTAAATAATGTAAAAGAAATTATGTGTTAATAAAGACAAATCGTTTTAGTTTTCAAAACAGTATCAAATATGTTTGCCTAAAGCAGAAAATGTTCGGTTGTTGTTACGTGGTGAAAATTCACCAAAGATTCTACTCTTTTAAATTATCTGTCATACGTAGCGCAAGTGCCCGGCTAGCTCAGTCGGTAGAGCATGAGACTCTTAATCTCAGGGTCGTGGGTTCGAGCCCCACGTTGGGCGGGTATAAACTTTTTGTTTTAATTTTGTATTAAATAATGTAATATACATACATATACACATATAAAGTATTGGACCCACTACGTATAGTTTAAAAAAAAACATTTTTAAGAAAAATATAAACCCTGAAGGTTCTACCGAGATTTGAACTCGGATCGCTGGATTCAAAGTCCAGAGTGCTAACCATTACACCATAGAACCGTGCTAGCATGGCTGAACTTAATCAAATAAGTTCCAAGTGTCAGTTACGCCAACAATGACGGAAATCGCTGGTTTAAGAAATAAAATTCTGGATGTCAATAATTGTTAGAGTCCAATTATATTAAAGAATTTGTAAATTTTTTATACTTAAATATCTAAAGAAAGTGGCAAAAATAATTTTAAAAAAATTAGAACAGGTTCTACCGAGATTTGAACTCGGATCGCTGGATTCAAAGTCCAGAGTGCTAACCATTACACCATAGAACCGCGATGTGAACCGTTTGCCAAAACATAGTTTTCTTGTTTTTGGTGTTGTTTAGTGTTGTAAGGTGATGGTGGGGTAGCATTATAGTTGGTACTAATAAATGGCGGCGATTATTTTTTTGGTATTTTATCGTTTAAGTGTAACTGAAAACAATACTAAACAAATCCGTTGTCAAGTTGAGAAAAATGATGTACAAAATTTATTTAATCAATACCAGCAGAGAAACATACATCAAAACAACTTTAATAACTTGACTGCATTATATTTCTAGAGTGCAAATAATTAAAGAATCATGGAGAAAGGGAAATCTCTGTTGCAGAAATATCAAATACCAATAAGCAATTTGGATTTTGGCTATGTGGAAAAATGTGAAAACGCACGCGAAATGGAAAAGATTGTGATGATTTTGCGTTCCGGCGAAGAAGGCTACTTTCCAGATCTTACGCGCTGTGCCGAGGATAAGCTTAAAAAACTGAAGCCGGATAGCAAATTGTTTCGCACCGAGGAGAAAATACAACAAAGCAACGTGTTAGCCAAGCACGAATTAAAACCCATATATGTAAGTACATAAGAGATGATTTTAGCCTTTCTATTTAGTTTAACACAAACTTTTAGGACTGGACGAATGAAATTAAGAATAAGGACAATGTACTAAGTGAGCTCAAGGAGGAAGATACTGTTCCATCGCTGGATATACCTCCCGTGCGAAAGACTACCAAAATAGATATTGACAAGGATGAAACTGAGACTTCTAAAAATAAGCCGGCGCCTAAGGCAAGCGCAAAGCCGCAACCCAAATCAACGAATGAGCAACGCATCAAGTCGACGGATTACAGCAAATGGGATAAATACGATCCGGATGAGGAAATATTACGTATGGACTTGGAACAGGAACGCGAAAAGGAGCAGGCACAAATAAAGCTAAAAAATATAATTAAAACCAAAAAAGAGGACCAGATGGAGATTAGCGAGGAGAGCACTGAACAGCAGCGTCTGAACGCACAAATCGCGAAACTAAGTCAGGTCGAGCGCGAGCAATATGCCGAGAAGTGAGCAGAGACGTCTCTTTTTTATTGATACATGTTACAGTAGCATTATTTTAAATAGATTTCGCTTGCGCGGTAACGAGTACTTTAAGGCCAAGGAGTATGACAATGCCGTTAGGGAGTACAGTCGTGCTATAACTTTCGATCCGGCACAGGCTGCACGCTCCTATAACAATCGCGCCATCTCGTGTGAGTACTCGAATGAAAGTTCTCATCCACAATGCCATTTCATATATCTATGCCCTCACCCGCTCTGCAGATTTGAAGCTAAATAACTATTTACTAGCCATAAAGGACTGTGAAGCCTGTCTTCGACTCGAGCCAGACAATGTAAAGGCGCTTTTGCGTCTGGCTGATGCGAACTACAGCCAGGGATATCGTCGTGAGGTAAGTGGTAATGTAGCAAACGCACTAATCTATGGATAATATATTTGAATCGATCTACTGCCAGTCATATGGAATCTATCAACGTGTATTGGAACTGGAGCCCAATAATATAAGCGCGAAGAAATCTTTGGAGCAATTGCGTCAACAGGTGGGCGAGTTGGCTCCCGCGCATGCTACGCGCATGGTCATAGAGGAGCTTCCATCAGATACAACTCCAACTACCAAGAAACCAGCAGCTCCAAAGCCAGCAACTGCAAAGCCAGCAACTCCAAAGCCAGCTACTCCAAGTCCAGCAACTGTGGAGCCTGTGAAGCTGCCCAAGGACTATGACCTGGCCGAGCTGGTCAAGCCGAATCGTGTGATTAAAAGTAAAATAGCTACTGCTGCCGAAGCCCTGGGTGGCACATTGAAAGGTTCAAACTCCATTGCCAACGCGCAGAAACAGCAGATGCAGCACATGATGCAGAAGGTGGCCTCGGCACAGGGCCAGCTGCGTCTGCCCCAGAGCCCTTGTTCAGGTTCCACAAACAACAAGCTCCTAATACAGGAGCTATAATAACAAAAGCATTTATTTATATTTGCCAAGGGGGATCGCACAATTAATTTATTTTTTTTTTGTCACCTTTATATAGATAACAGCAATAGAACATAAATTTTTGCACAAGGCTAAGATTGCAAAAAACGTGTATTAGCAATCGATCTTCAATGTGTGCTCAGCATCTGAGATTATTGAATTACATAAACAAGACTAAATTGATTTATATAAATTGATTTTCCTGATGACCTATCTTTACAAACTAGGCTAAAATCAATATAATATGAAAATAAAATAACTATATTGAAAATATTGTATGAAATCATTGTTTATTAGGAAGGGTTGAAGTAGTATATATATGTACATAGTTACGCATATAAAAACTTACTCAAGTCGTTAGTTCTTGTTGCAGCTGGACTGATAAGATATGAGATTTATAGTTATCAAATTATTAGTTTCGCTTTAATTGAATGAACGTAGCTGCTGATTATTGTTGAAGCAACATTTTTATTCCTACCTAAATGTGCTTTAAAGTGGGGTTGAGCGAAACTTTTTTATTTATAAGCTGATTCCACTAAAATTGGCTGTGGTCAATTGACGGTAATATAAGTGTTTATACTTATGTATATGTTGCTTTTTTTTCATAGACTAAGAAAATGCTATACGTACCATTTTATATGTAAATAGATGGTTGATTGAATACTTGATACTCGACTGCTAAATCGAAAATGTATTTTCCAAAAACAAATTAGGCACACTTTAAGGACAATATATAGAAACAAGTGATCTAATAGTCATATCAGTGACATCCAGGGGCATCATCACACTGGCAGGTCTCTATGTCATCTTCGTCACATTTGAAGAGAACCTTTCGCATATAGCGGGCAATTAGGTTTTGTGCCCTCTGGTCGAAATCCTTTAGGACGCTTGCTGGCGAATTAATCTGTGGGGGACATCAAGTAGTCGAAGATTGGCTTTAAGCGAGCTGCTGAGTGCACCCACCTGGTCGCCTTCCATGCGATTAATGATGGCCACACAAATCACGGCGGCCCGTATTCCCGCTTGGTTTGTGAGAGCTGCGAAGGCGGTGCTCTCCATTTCCATGTTGACGATGCCCATTTGGGAGATTTGCTGCAGAAAGCACATCTTCTTTTGTGGATTGTATCCGCAAAAGGCACCGTCCAGCCGTGATTGCCCCTCGTAGAAGTCATTGGCGCAGAGTGTCTTTCCCAGTACGGTATCATAGCCATCTTCACAGGGATTGGAGAGCGCTATAAGTTCCTTGGCCAAGGCCTGGTCCAGTAGGGCTGGCCGCAGCTGCGGCTGTGTGTGCACGACCACCTCGTATACGGGCCGCAATTGGCCATCCAGTGGTTGCGATGTGATCACCAGGGTTCCGGGCTCGACGCCGATGCCTCCGCAGGTGCCCATGCGAAAGAAGACTGGATCCTGGCACTTGGCATGGTGCACAAGCTTGATCAGCTCGTGCAACACTATGCTGATGGAGGGGCCGCCGATGCCGTGGCTAGCGCACAGCACAGGACCCACCTTGAAGAGCGCGTATCGGTGGCCGTCCGCGGAAATATTTCTCAGGTGGACCGCTATGCTCAGCTTGAGTCCAATCTCACCTATGATGAAATTGGCAAACTTCTCCATACGGGCATCCGAGCCGCCCAGGCACACGAACTGTGGGCATGGCAGTCGACCGCCAGTTAAGGCACAATTCGATTTAGTACAATTTCAACAGCTTACGCGCACATCACCAAAGACCTTTGGAAAGTCGATTGTCTTGGTATCCAAGTTCAGATGGTGGAGGATATCCGGATTGAGGCACTCAAGATACGGGTTCAAGTTACATGTGCACGACTTCAATTCCTGCGGAATATCGGTTTGGCTGCCTTCCTTGATAAACCTGATGAGCTCATCGATCCGCTTATTTTGTGCTTTAACCATGGCTGCAGAGCTGCATTATGAGTACGGATCGAGGGACAACGGCCGATACCCACCTTTTAGATCGCAAACATTCTTGTGCATATTCTTTTCACATTTGTCCCCCATTTTTGCCAAAGATTGAGTAACTTTTTTTTTTTTGAATTTTAAGTTTTTCCAATAATCAGAATTTGGAGCAGCTTACATTAATTTAAATATTCGAATGATTTCCCCATTACTTAGATCCCAAAAAAGTCAATTACTCGAAAAGCTTCAATGATATTTTGTTTAATCAGATTTTGTTTGCTCCAATAAATAGTATGTAGAGTCTCATTTTAGCAGATGGGTTATATAACGCCCGACAATTATAAAGGGACGTTGCTCAAATTCATGTTTTTGCTCCATTGTAATGGTCACCTTCAGAAAAAATAATTAATATTAATTAATGAGTTTTTTTTAACTTTAAAAATAGATAATGTGTATAACTATCAAGGCATATTTATAGAAGAAGTCTCATGTTATTTGAGATAAGTATTATATTATTGTAGATTAGAGTGTGCACAGTACTCACCTGATCGCCGTTTAGTCGATTAAGTAATGCTACACAAATGCAGCCAGCCTTTACATCAGCCTTTCTAGTCAGTGAGGAAAACATGGTGGCCTCCATTTCGATATTACGAATGCCCAGGTCGTGCGCTTTCTGCAGGAATTTCATTTTATCGTCTTCGGAATATTCACACACAGCGCCATCGATACGTCCTTGACCTGATTGAACCATGCTTAGATGTAGATAAATTTAAAATAGTATAAATTTATATATATATATAATACCCTCATAAAAACAGTCTGTTGCCATGGTATTCGCTTTTATGATTTCGAAACTATCTTTGGGTTGGTTGCCAACACCTAAAATGCCTTCGACAACATCCTGTGCAAAGAAAGCGGGTCGTCTCACACGCCTTCCCAAAATGGGCTAAACATTAAAATGATATACATATATTAATAATTAGATTGAAATTGATAAGAGTGTCTTGTATGATTGTATTGCATGATTGTATTGTGTTCTTTTTCTAAGCAGTATTGAGACTCTCACTTTTGCTGATCCTAGAACGGGTCATCGTCTACTCTTCAGTTATGCTCAGGGTGATTGGCTTTTAACATGCAATGGAATGCACTATTACAACTGGGTTGCGCAGTGTAATTGGGTTACTTACGAATTCATGCACGTTCTCTAAGCAACCATTGTAGGCCTTTTCGGTGACAATGACTGTGCCCGGCTCCACGCCCACGCCGCCGCATGTGCCAATGCGCAGGAACACGACGTCTTCGCACTTGGCATACCTGACCAGCTTGAGCAGCTCGTGCAGCACCACCGAGAATGTTGAGGAGCCCACGCCATGGCTGACACACAAAACCGGCCCCACCTTGTAGACAGCATAGCGCTGACCGCTCTCGCATAGATCGACGGGTTCGCTATTGTCAGCTATTCCAAGTATGGGCCGCAAATATATCGCCAATTCTTTCATGCGTTTTTGAGTGCCTCCAGTGCATATAACCTGTAGCGAGAGCCAGGTTCGAATATATGTGATTACAATTGTTCCCCTAGTCTGCTCACCCTAATGTCCCCAAATTGCTGCTCAATATCAGTGGCGTTCTGGCTACAGGCCACATTAATGTTCAGATGATATAGAAAATCAGAGGACATTGTATCTAAGTGAGGATTATTCAGCCTGGAGCTGTGGATTACAATATTTATGAACAGCGTGACTAAAAGATCTTTATATAAACTATTTCAGTTTACACTTACAGCGACATTTTGCCAAACGAGAAAAGTTTATTGTAGGGGCCAGATAACGACTGAAAGAAATGAATTCCACGAAAATCATTATCAGAGTTGAAAGCTAATCTTAAAAGCATTGAGGAACGCCTTGATCACTACACAGCCGATTTTCGAAATGTTTGAGTTCTACATCAGCTATTCATGTCTCATTCCTGGCTTGTTACATCCATTTAAGAAAAACATCATTCCCTGATTTCTGGGCATGGAAACAATACATTTCATTCAAATGAGACTTCGATATGCATTGAATTCTTATATAGATAAGAAGTTATTGATTTAGACATATTGAGCACGTTGAGAAATATGAATATTATGATGCGGGTGCCGCTGAATTTTCATTTCAGCACAAATACACATTCAAGTAAATAATTAAAGAGCAAACATAATTTTCAAATATATGTATATACATTTTCTTTCAATCTTCCGCAGCGTGTTCCGATCGCGATCAACACTTGACATAAACTAAATGCTCTGCGAGTGAGTAAATATTCAACTCGCGAGCTTTTCACCAATCAAGAACTCTACTCTCTTTGAAAGTTACTCTAAAAGTTTCGTACAGGCAATGCGAAGTACTTCGTATTCGATCGGGTTCTCATATATACAATTGCAGTATGCAGTGGACAATGACGCACATATATACATATATGTATATACGTATGTATATATCATACTATGCATTTTACAGCTTTATGTTTATCTTCTCTAGTATTTAGTATAGATCTATATATTCAGAGACTCACGCCATATGAGGAATATTTTACACTGTGACTGCCACGCCTTGTTTGCAGATCACAGTTGACTCTCCGGACTGGGAAGGAGTATTTTGTGGTCGTTTACCTTTAATCGATGCCTTCCATTTCCTACGTCTGTAGATAGCATCATAAAATTTAAAAATAAACTTCAAAATAAAGTACGTAATACAAGTGGAGTATTATTTCAGCTGTTGTTCTTTATCTATTTTTTCACGTGTATAATTTGATTCCATTTTGTTTAGTTTAGAATTGAATAAGAGTAACGATTGTTAATATAGCTTCGTGATTAACAACATTAATTTGCGAATGCGCATAACAAATGTTTAGGAATTACAGTACAATATGTATAATAGAATAATTTAAGAAATCTTATAATATGATCTGAAGTACACACATACATCGTATATAATATTATTTGGTTTGCCTCATTTCGATTATGCAACATAACAATTAACAACGTTATATATTTTAATTTTTTTATTCTGTATTGTTTTCGTTTAGTTCATTATTGAAATGTACTTTGCAACAATCGATGCAATCAACGATAATTTGAAAGAGTTTTGCATTTTGAAACACTTTACATAGAGTACATTTTTATAGCCTTGTAGAGATTGGTGCGTATAAAGGAAATTTCGTTAAGTTGAGCTAAAACTAATAAACATACATGTGAGACATGAGCTGAATCATTAAGCTATATCATATGAAGTGTAATGAAATTGAGACAATATTTTTACTTCCGATATCGGACAATTAAATTATATAGCTCTCATCAGAGTTGTTGAGAAATTATGTTTAGCATGGAAACCATTATGTATTCGTATTTTAAAATATATTTATATTCTCTTCTACTCATAATTTATCTGTAAATTGTCTACAAGGATATTTTATCTTAGGCAAGCCGAAGATATTCATTTGTTCATAGTGTTACTTTAATTTGTATATTCATTTGCGGTTAGTTGTTTCAGCATTCGGCGTTACGCCGCCAATACGTGCAATACGTTTGAGATTAAATTATCTAATGAGGAAATATATATATATATATATATAATATATATGTATACACATATGTATGTATATATTTGTGTAAATATAACACTGACAAGGATACATAGGAAAATAAGAGCTTAGAACTTATAACTTAGACTGTGAACTAAACTATGGAATGTTTAAAGCAATATTTCAAAAATAAGTTGTATACATGCGAGTTGGGTTGACATTTAGCCAAAGGTAACTTGAAATTAAAATATCATATATAGATATATGTATGTATATGCTATGATCTTGTGCATTTGGTTGCTGGCTCTAATCGTGGGCCTGAGATTCCTGCTGGACCAGCTTAAATCGCCTAGGCGACTTGATGGACCCTTGATGCCCGAAGAGCGATTTCAGCTGGCCATGCTGTGCCAGCACCTTGCGTATATACCTGGACACTAGGATCTGGGGACGCTGTTGCCACTCGTGCATCACCTCCTTGGGCGCATTCACCTGGTCACCGTTCAGGCGATTCAGCAGGGCAACGCACACAACTGCCGCCTTGATGCCCGCATGATGTGTGAGTGCTGCGAAGATAGTGCTCTCCATTTCGATGTTGACAACACCGTTATCCCGCAGCTTCTCCAGATAGTTCAGCTTGTCGGCTTCGGTGAACTCACAGAAGGCGCCATCCAGCCGCCCCTGGCCCTCGTAGAAGTCGTTTGTGCACAGCGTCTTGCCAATGATGGTGTCATAGGGATCGTCGGCACTCGCCAGCGACTTCAGCTCACGTGCCAGCTTCTTATCCAACTTAGCCGGCCGATGAACGGTTTCGCCCAGGATCGTCTGTCGCAATAAGAAAATGTTATTATACAAATCAATTACAGGAGCGAAAGTCTTCCGCTTTCACTTACAAACTCGTGCGAGTTACGCAGCTGTCCGTCCAAGGCATCGTCTGTGATGATCACGGTGCCGCCCTCAACTCCGATGCCGCCACAGGTGCCAATGCGTATGAAGATGGGATCGATGCATTTGGCATGGTACATCAGCTTGATCATCTCGTGCATCAGAATGCTAACCGAGGGTGTGCCCATGCCGTGGCTGACGCTCAGCACGGGACCAACTTTGTACATGGAATAGCGATACGAATAGGCGCTAATATCCTGCAGCTGGGTGCCAGCGGGCAGCTTGTAGCCAATCTCATCCATAATGAAGTGTGCAAAGTTCTCCATGCGCTTTGGTGTGCCGCCCATGCAAACGAACTGGTTAAAAAATGATTAAATAAATAATATATGAATAAAATTAGTTCGATTTTCATGATGTATGGCGGCAAAACTAGTTTTTAAGCTCTCACGATTATCATGATGTATGGCGGCAAAACTAGTTTTTAAGCTCTCACTATAACTGATCTGACTTGACAATGGATTGCAAATTACCGCACTCGGAATGCAAAGTGTTCTTAAATATGGTCTATAAATATCAAGCTAAAGAATGTTAGCCTTGCCTAGCATTTATGCATATCTAATTGCATATGGAGTATTAGAGCTTGGATTATTTCTTACAGGTCGCTCCATGTTGGCTTACGTCCCTTACGGTTGGACATATGTATATTCTTTAACTTTCAAATTCTTTAATTTATATTATTTATAAACTATT